CATTTGAGCCCTTCGGAAGTCCTTTAGGGACCACCTCCAGTTGGGACCTCAGAAGTAAATCAGTTTAGTATATTGGTTTATTTTCTTGATTTTGATCAGTCCTGCACATCATAGCCTATGACTATGATGACCGCCAACTGTCTTATAAACAGCCACTTTTCTCCTACTTGATGATGCATGCAGTATGGCCGTCTTTTTTTACACAGCTTCAACTGTACTAGTTACTAGATCTAGGAAGCCTCTGGTCTATAGATCAAATGGGAGGACTTCTGTAAGGAGCGACCACTATGAGACAGAGCAGAATTGAGGGCTTGGGGTAGGGGTAGGGGTAGGGGTAAGAGTAAGGGTAGGGTTAGGGTCAGGGGTAGGGGTAGGGGAAGGGGTAGGGGTAGGGGTAGGGGTAGGGGTAGGGGTAGGGTTAGGGTTAGGGTTGGGTCTAGGCCTCTTCTTTATTGTGTTTGATGGGGTGGTCGCTCATTACGGCATTTACGGAAGTCCTTGGGCCCGTGTCATTATCAAGACCAAGACCAATTAATAATGTCAATAACGACCAACAAGCCAAAATAATACCATCATTTCACTGAAAAATTATGAATATTGCAGAGAATAGGTTGAATAAAGTGGAATTTCTCTCCTGAACCCCAATAAGACTCATGGATAACCTTATCCCTTACACTTTCATTTTCCCTGAAACTGTAAGTCAAACGTGAAATACTCGTTCCTACCTGCGTCCAAGTAGAGGAGTGACGTGTTTTGTTTTGCCCGAGGTGTCACATCGACAACAATAATCAACAGCGATGGCCGTTGTTCTACTGCTAAGACTAATCTCCACAACACACACTACACACAAAGTTGACCATGGAACCGGAACGACTCGGCGTGCAGCCTTCGTCGCATTGGGGTTTCGAACTTTATGATGGTTCGACATCATCATCATCATCATCATCATCATCATCATCATCATCATCATCATCATCATCATCATCATCATTGATGTTGTTTTGTGAAAACATTTTTTTTTAAATTAATAAATACATTCTTTTTAAAAATATATGAACAGATCTAGATCTATATGTATATATAATATATATATGTATCCATTTATTTATTTATGTATTTATTTATTTATATGGATACTTGTTTCAGTAGTGCTATTTTGTGAAATGTTGTGGCAGGCCCTATTAAAGTTGCAGGCTAATACATTAAAATGTTAAATGTTCTACCATAATTCGGGCTTCATCAAGAGCTGGTTGTTATGAACTTCATCATCAGCAGCAGCAGCAGCAGCAGCAATTATCATCATATCGTCGATAACAGTGCTATTTTTATATCATTATCCTGATTCATGTCATTAAGGATGCTAAGTATAAAAAAGATTAACATTAATAACACCACAACAACAACAAAACTTCAGCATAAGTAGCAGAAGCAGTAGTAGCAGCAACAGCAGCAGCAGCAGCAACAGCATCATCATCATCATCATCATCATCATCATCATCATCATCATCATCATCATCATCATCATCATCAGTGCCATTTTTATCATTAACCTTAGGCTATTACACTTCATCCATGGTACTAAAGTAAAAAAAAAAATTACCAACAACAAAAAACAACAAAACAACAACATAATAGCAGCAGCAACAATGGTGATGGTAATGATGAAAATGATCGATGATAATGATAACGATGATAATAATGATGACGATGATAACAATATTAATAATCATTATCTTCATCAGCAGCAGCAGTAGCAGCATCGACATCATCACCATATATCATCAGTTTTATAATTTTATCATTACCCTTGCTGTTAAATTGTTGTTAATCTTTATCCCTATTTTTATTCATATCATTGAGGACGCTAAGTAAAAAAAGATCAACAACAACAACAACAACAACAACAGCAACAGCAGCAACAACAACAACAGCAGCAGCAGCATCAATAATTAATAATGATGATGATGATGATGATGATGATGATGATGATGATGATGATAATATTAATGATCGATGATAATGATAGTGATGATAATAATTATGACGATGATAACCATATTTAATAATAATAAATATTGATAATTATTATTATACATAATTGTTATAATTATCATTATTACAACGACAATAATAATAATAACTACATGTAATAATACACAAAAATTACCAGGAGAGTTGAAAAGGGGACTACGAAAGCATTTTTCTACGAAGATTAAGAGGTTTATCCAGTTTGAAACTCGAACATTAAATTTTCGCCGTTTTTACTTTTTGTCCGATAAAGAGCGTAACCATAGTACATTTCCAGATGAGGATTATTGTGTGTGTGTCAGTGGCGGCCTTTGGTGCAATTGGTGCAAGCACTCAACCTAACGATGGCCTTCACCCCCCCCCCCCCCTTTTTTATTGTTCTAAACCAGTTAGTGCCCTAGATCTACATTAGGCCTACTACATCTTTGCGATCCGCTGCGTCAGTGAAGAGACAGACGGCGGGGATGGTTTACCCTACGGGTCCACTGAGACGGGCACGGCCCGATCTTTTGCCGGGAGGAAGAAAATCGGTCGGGTCGTTTCCGTCTTGTGTGTCCACCAGTTCGAGCAAGACACGTCAAGTCTGTTGGCCTACTGGCCGTCTTATCCCACACATTGTGTCCCAAGGCTGTGTCCTCGGTACGGGGCTATTATAAATAGTCGAGGTTAATGAACCCAAGGCGAGAATAAAAAATGAATGGGTTTTTACAGAAAATTTGGTAAAATTGTTAATATGTATTTAAACTAGGTGGTTTGCGTGTAAACTTTTCTAATTTTGAGGCGCTGATTATGAATATGACTTTAGAATTTTAATCCGAACTCAAAATTAGAATTTTTTAAACCTCCGGCGGGGCCTATAATGGCTCGTCACGAGTCACGACTCCGCCCGGCTAAAAATACTAAAATTGAGCAAGCGGGTTGCCAACCCACACGTCTTTTGTCGGGGCGTGTGGTGTTATGTCTGTTGAGACAGCCAAACGGACTTTTCGCTGATTTCTTAGTAAATAAGCGGTGCTCCATTTCATCTACCAACTTACGAGAGACGGACGCAATCGGGTCGGTTGGAGTCCGTCGCAGTGGACACGGGCCTTTATGCTCGTCGCGCCGCTTGCAGTAGTGTCTTCCGGGGGGGCAAACAAAATCTTTGCACCAAAGTTATTTTTGTCACTGTAGAGAAATCTAGGCATCGTCCTTTCCGTCGTTCTTTCCGCACAAGAAGAAAGGTGCATAAAACTGCTTTTCGCAGCTCCAATTTGGTGCAAGCTAAAAATTTGATCCAAGTTTCTGC